AGCCTATGGAACACTTAATCAATAGTAGCTGCCATTATTATTATTAGAATTTTGGTTATAGATAGTTGATCTATTGTGAGCATACATACATGAGCAAGAATATAGAGAGAAAAGAGCAATCGATTTTGCATGGGAGGACTTAGGTGGGCTGTAATGAAGAGTTAACATTGAGGAGCAGTCTTGAAAATTATCAGAGTTTCAATAGAGAGTGAAGAGAGAGGCGATTTGGGGAAAGGAATGAATTTAGTATCTGGCATGTTGACTTTGAGATCTTCATAGACAGCTGGAAAAAATGGATCTGGATTCACTAGAAAGATTCAGGCTATAATCAGTTGATTACTCTTAAAGCACTAATACTAAGAACTAAACAACACAGGAATACATTGGAATGCCAGGGGAAAAACTGCAGACTGAGAAGAGGTAGAAGTGGGGAGCCAGAAAATTTAAAGCAAGGGAAGGAGAGTCTTCAAAGACAAAGAAACAATAAGCAGAGATCTAGGAAGAGAAGTAGCAGAGAGCAGCTTTAGAGAAAGCTGACTTGTTCAAACAGGCGTCAAATTGGAGCCCACAGCCCCGTGGAGGACAAAGGGAGTCACTGAACTTGAACCTGAGAAGCAATACAGTGCGATGATCAGTCCTTGGACTTAAGAAACACCTGGGTTCAAATCCTCCCTCTTACCTTCATTAGCTCTGTAGACCTGAACAGTTTCTTTCCCTCAGTCATCAGATGACTGTAAAATGGAAATAGTAACTACCTTACAAGATTGTCGTGAGTTAAGAATGAACTAATGCGTGTAGAACACTTAGGAAATTGTCTGGATGATGACACACACATATTCACCTGGGAAAATATAAATTGATCAATGCAAATTTAATACCCGAGAAAATAATAGAACAATCATCAAATTACTTGCCGTCACTCAGAGGAGCCCTAGATATTGTTTAACAATTCAGTGTGGATTTCTGAGCAAACAAATAATGTCGATGTCAGACCAATTTAATTTTCTTTCTCTGAAGAATATTAGATCATGGAGATAAAAGGAAAGTAAAAGATTGACGAGTTGAACTAACTGGGCTTTCTGTCTGTCTCCACGACATTTCTGTCACTAGGCTGAAGAAATTATTTAGAGCAGCATATCCCCCAGAGTGTTTTATAGAAAGTTATTAAGTGTTCCATGAATAATTAAGTTTGGAAAACACTGGGTAAAACAGGTTACTTTACCACAGGATCCTCAAATTTTTAAAAATAAGGTAATGTGACTATCTAAGAATCAGTATAGTATATAGCATTTTCCAAACTTATTTGGTCATGGAACTCTTTCAAGGGTCATAGAATACAGTTTGGGAAACAGCAATATAGGTAATATTATGTTATCTTTCCTGGACTTATAGTTCCTAAAAGTTGATTATTAAGTTTTCATAATCTATATGTAGAAAACTATTTTGTGTTATTCCACAGGAACCAGAATTCAAAGAGGTGCTACTTAATACTTTGATTCATGAGCTGAACAATGAGAGTCAAAAGAATCATGATTAAACGTGAAGCTGGGCAGAGTTGGACCTACTTGGGAGACAGAAAGAAAATTCAAAGGATATTCAAAATAGAATTCTATGAAAAATAGAATGAAGATCAAGAGGGAGAAGAAGAAAGATGTTTTACAGATAAAACATCATTTCTACATATTTTTGTAGGGGAATAAAGATTTTGATATATATAACGTTAAACTTTAAAAGACCAAGAAAACACACTGAGTCTTGAACAAAAAGCACGATAAGTAAAAAAAATCATTGCAAGAGTTATTGCTTCTGCTCTGCCAAGACTACTGTAGTGAAAAGCATAGGGAGATGTGCTTATCTCACGGACTGGGGTGGCTGTATTTTAGAGTGTGGGGGCTGTGTACTCTCCTGGCTCTACACGCTCTATACAAAAGTGGTCTTGGAGTTGCTCCAAAAATCAGGACTTCCAAAGCCACAAGATTCCTGGTAAGTTCCCACTTTAGGATGCCTCTGAGTGATGGGCTGAGTGTCTTTGAAAGGAGATCTTATCATTTCCTGGGTTAATGAAAGCCTCTTAGTTCTTTTGCGAAGAGTAGGCAGGAACTGACTTTCCTCTTCAAAACTCATCCTGGCGGCTCGAGACTCTGCTGAATCCAGAGATTCTCCAGTAGAGGTGGCATTTCTAGGTCACTAAAGAGTGGATGTCGAGGGATCAGAGATTGCAGTGCTCCTCTTTTCCTTCTTAGGTTTTGTGTTCTTGCATTAGGATATGGCACAGCCTAAGTGTCCTTCTTAAATAACTGACTGGTAATTCGCTGAAAGAGTTGTGTGTGTGTGTGTGTGTGTGTGTGTGTGTGTGTGTGTGTGTAAAAGCCAATATGAAGTAAGAGTCATAACAGTGCCAGAAGTTCTGTGCTTGGCTTAAATTCCCACACTAAAAAAATCAGAGAATTTCCAGGGCCAGCAACCAGGTAAGAGACATGAAAATATTACATGAAAAATGGAAGTAATGATATTAACCCGGAGAAAAACAAAATGGGGTCAATATGGTCCTTTTACTACTTAAAAAGAAAAAAAATGGTTGAACATTAGGAGACACTCAATGTGATATTTAGAAATAAGTTTTATAATAATTAAAATTGTCTGATAAGGGAGAAGTCTGCCTTGTGAAAAGAATCCAAAAAATAAAGTTATTTCTGAGTGCCTATTTTGTGATGAGTGTTATGCTAAATACTTTTACATGCATTCACTCATTCAATTCTCTCAAAATCACTGTGAGGTAAGAACTGCTATTATCCACACATTATAGGTGGTAAACTGAGTATTGGAGAGCTTAGTCTACTTTATCAAGGTCCCACAGATAGTGAGTAGATGAACTGGCATTTGATTCTGGAACCTGTGTATGAGATCACTAAATTGCTCGCTTCCATCCTTGGAAATTCAAAAGTACAGTCTGATGTATCAGAGATTGAGTTTAAGGGATTTGTTCCATTTTAGGACTTTTCCATTGCAAGACTGGACCATTGCAGATAATCTCTAAAATCTTTAGTCTAATTTCTGCCATACTGAGAATCAAAACGTTGACTTGAACCTCCTTGGTCATTGTGCCCATCTGTCATCTTCCTATTTGAACAGCGATCAAGTCCAGTCTGACAGTCTTGAGAAGGCCAGTGATGGATTGGATGGATGGTGGAATCCACAAGGAAAACTAAGAGAGACTGCATGCCTTCGGCCGGGGAGTGAACTGGCGATCCGCAATATGCAAAAGATTAAGGTCTGTAAGTCATTTCCATGGAGAACATAACAAGAAATCCATTTCAGTGAAAAAAGCTTGGCTGGCACGAGAAGGTCTAGCGATGAAAATGTCTTGAACTAAATGAGACTTTGAGGCATAGTTATGGGTAGAAGAACAGGGCCATGTTAGAATGGAAGCCAGTGCCTTCAATGGCAGAGCACCCCAGCTGCCATTCCCGCAGCCTTGACAAGCTGGCCCGCCCTGAAGACGAGCCAGAATGCCAGCCAGTGTCTGTCACTCTCTTCTACCCTGTCCCACTAAAGAAGCAGCAGACACTGAAAATAAAGTCTGAGCCATTTTCATTTTGGGAAACTTTTAAACTCAGTTTGACAGCTGTGGTGACAGGGATTCTTAGGTAGCCGGCCACGGGGTATCACAACAAATAACCTCATGAGATTCCTTCTGAATTCACGAGTGATGGCTTGCAACAATTTGGGAAAGCCCAGAGAGTCTCTGTGAATAAAATTGCCTTGAAAAAAATCAACATTTCTGCCCAACAGAGCTTTATGCATTAATTTTAGGAGCTAGATTGTCCGTTTTTTTCTTTAACACAGAAAGAAACTGAATACCCTTAAAATAAGAGGGGTTTTTTTTTTTTCTGCTTCATAGAAATGTTATCATAATTTCATGCCCCTACACTTCCCAGCCTGTTACTTGGTTCATTACTCTTACACTTAACTTTATAAGGTCCTGGTTCCTGTGATATTCGTTTTTAGGCTGTGGTTTCTCACAGCTGCTGCTTTGAAGTCCCTTGATAACATTTTTCACCTTGCACGGAGCCAGTGGCTTTTCAAGTTCTTGTTCTCCCACTGCTCACTGTCCTGATTCTTCTGATACTTCTCACTTGGATGGGTATATTCTCAACTTCACCTCTTCTCTACTTTTGGAAGAAGGCAAATCTTGGGCTTTTGCAAGTGGCTAATCAGTCCATCTATGAAACTGGGCAATTCATTCTGGAAATAGTGACTTCTCTCCTTGAGCTCATCAGAACATGTTTCCTTAATGGATGCTCAGGGACCTCAGCGGAGCTCACGCACGAGTGGTAATGGGGCATCTCTCACCCTTCCTGTAAACACAGATGATGCCTGTGCTCCCTTCACACGCACACAAGCATCTCTTTTCTCATTGTGGTCCCCACACACCTACAGTCACGTTCTTTATCTAAAGGTGGCCTCTACTAACAAGAGTCAGGCCAGGCATGACCTCAACTGTTAGAATTTAGAAAAAGCCAATTATTTCACCGGCAAAGTCAGGCGGTAGCTAAAATTGGACAGGGAAGCACCTTCTGGACAAAGCATTTCTCAAGAGAACCAGTATGAGAAACGAGATTGTACAGACATAATTTTTGGAAGTTCTTTATGGTTAAAATTAAGTTAGAGTTGAGCGTTTTACATGTCTTTGTTATTTTAACAGGAAGCTAATTCGGGGGGAAGCACCTCCTGTTTCATCCACTCAGAAAAAATTTCTCCTGTGACTTACATCATTTCCCAAGAGACTGGATGTGAAGGTTGGAAGACTGAATTTAGCAGATGATCTGAGTGCTAAAATGTGCTTACATGTGGTAAAATGGGGATTAAAAGCTTTAGCTCCATTTTGAAGAGGAATGGGACAATTAGTAAGAGGAGGAAAAGCACAATCGCAAGTGAAATCGAGAGGAACGATCAGCTCATCGTGCACGAAATACGGTGTTAAGAGCAAAGTTACTCACAGGTATTTGCAGTGCCTTTGGGGATGGGGAGATACGAGCCTGGGCTCCAAGGTCGGCCCTGATAATTCTTCTTGCATTTCCCACAGTCTGGACCTGTAGTGTTGTGCTCACATTCACAGGTCAATTTGCTGTTGTCATACACACACACAGTGGCATGGAGATTACATTTGCACCTAGGCAGAGGAGAGACAAGAGTTCATCGTAAGTCAAGTTGGTCTTGGCGATCATGAAGGTTTTACCCATCTATCTCCTAGGGTTGTGGCTCTCAGGCCCTCCAGGGCCTGAGTGCTATACAGAGGCTCTGGGTAAAATGTCGATTTGTAGCCCCACCCTCAGAGTCTTTCCAACAGGTACCCTCTGGGATGGGGGTGAGGACTCCTAACACCCACCAGTTGGTTCAGTGGGGGCCTGAAGCTCCCCGAAGACAACTGTGCTCCGAAATCAAGGGTTTCCCAACCAGTATCCAAAATATTGCCATAGTGAGAGGGTCTTCTGTCATATTATCAAATCTCTGACAATTTCCTGTGGGTTGGAAGAACAGTGTCATCTTCTGTTTTTCCTTAATTCACAAGGATAATTCTTATTATGTGTTTAAAATGAAAAAGAACCACTGAGACATGTTGTTATTCAGATTTATTCTATAGACCCCAAGAGGTTATAATCTACTGTTCGCGTTCCTAAAATGACATTTCTTCAGATCAGAAGAGTTTACCCTCCAAGGCTTCTCTAACCAGCCTGAGTCCTCCTCAGATTCTCCACTCATGGCAAATAATGTAATCGTAAAGATCTCTCAGACATGGGTCAAATGGCTCAGATCAAAGATACTTAGAATCCTAGGAAATAAAAACCTACATGTGACAGCAGGGGTTGGAGGTCATTAGCAAAGGCCTTGCCTTTGGTGCCCATGAATAAAGCTGTGATATATGAGAGGCAACAATGGAATATTCAATTTCTACAAAAACACATTACCATATCCAAAGTCTCTGACTGTAAAATTACAAAGGCCAACTTGATATTTGCTGAGGTAGCAGGTTATAAACTGTAACGCTCCAAGCATGAGCCTCATCCCCTGGAGAAGTAAAACCTAGATTGACTAGGATGACGATGACACAAGGTTAGAACAATGTATGAGGCAAGAGATGTCTCCACACAAAGGAGAGAACCCAGACTCCCAGCCCAAGGGTTAAAGGACGAAGATCCGTCAGAGTCAGAACCTGAAAATGTCATGTATGTATGTGTGTGTGTGTCTGTGCACGTATCTGTGTGTGTGTCTGTGTGCATGTGTGCATTTTAAAACTAGTCTGGTCTCTTCCAGAAACTAGAACAAAAATACAGAAAGCGAAGTTTCATAAAGACAAAGAAATATGGTAGTGTTTTACATTTGTTTTCCTTTGTGGCAGATGTCATGAATTTGGAAGAGTAACAATACTTCATAGGTGGGAAAATATGATTCTTTTAACAACTGGTTTCTATAACGTCTGTACAGTCACATCCAAGATTCTCTCTTGTGCACTGATGATCTGTTTGGACCACTGACCCATACTTATGGCAAAGAAGCAAAGGGAAGACTGAGGCTAATGCTGGGACCTGCTGGGCTCTCTTCTAACCAAAAGATATAGCCCCTAAATAATGCCACACACTCAAACCTTCCTGGATAAGACCAAGCTGCAGCTTCCTCCGGGGTCTACTACAATTTATAATCCTTGTAGGTATACCTTGACCTCTGTATAGTTTATACATTGTGATAAGCTGGAAGGTTATTATTTCAATAATACCCACTCAATTTATACAAATAAACCAAACCTTTAAAAATTAACATTTGTACAATCTTTTAAAAAGAAAAAAATCATTCAGTTTGAGTGAAATAGACTGTGTTTAATTATGAGTTAGGCCTTATAACAATCTCCTATATGCAGGGAGTTACTTGTGCTAAGTTGCTAATTAAAGGATCTTTCTTCTTCCAACATTAGCACCTTTATTTACGGGTGTATTTTTTATATATGGAAGATGTTAGAAACTTAAGTGATAGAACCACCAGCTCATACTGATTTATCACCCTCTTTCGTGTTAAAAATTCCGAATGAGGAAATGAACAGTGTGACCCCAAAGAATAAATGCCGGTTCCATGTGTGAAGACAAAGAATGCAAGTAGTAATTATAAATCGGATTATATTTCTTATAACTATTAATACTTTCATACCTGTAGTCACTCTCTGAGTTATAGGCAATTTCCACTGCAAAGGCTTTATATTCACTGAGAAAATATTCTTTGACTAACAAAAAGAGGCGAAAGAAGAATAGATGAATGTTTAGTCTTGTTTTTCTCAGATCTCTGCCAGTTAACAGTTCATCTCCACTTGCCCAAAAGCTTATTAATCTTTCAAGTCTCAACTCAATTCATAACTCTTCCCTGATATCTATCTTGTCTACTGTAGATTTCTACCCTTTGATTTCTACCCTTCTGATTTCCTTAAATGCTTCTATGTGTTTGGTTTGGTTGGTTGGCTCTTTAGCTTTAAAATTTTTGACTCGTTGCATAAATCTGTCCCATTTTAAGGGAGTGGGGATATGCACTTTGCACCCTGGTCTTTTTTTCCAGTTGCCTCTTTAACACTCTCCTCACCCTTCTTGAGTTTTCTGCACTTGCCATCTTCGTTTTCTCATCTCGCACTCACTCACTCAGCCACAGTCTCTCTTGCCAGGGTCATTCACAACCATCTCGCTGAAAATCTGTTGGGTGCTTCTTCTTGCCTAATTTGACCTCCAGGGACATTTGACTCTGTGGACCACTCCCTTTCTGTTGACATTCTCTGCCTGCCGGATTCTCAAGGTCACCTCCAGAACCCTCGTCTCCTGTGTGTCCTCTTCATGTGCTGTTCTTTGGGTTCAGGCCCAGCACAGTCAGCCTAAGTGACTCTCCTTGGGCATGCTCATCCAGGTTGTCCCTTTAATTTCCTCTGTGGTTTTAACTGCCTTTAAGTTATAGATATTTTAAAGCAAACTTGCATCCTTTTGCCTCCAGAAAAAACAAACATATGCAAAATAAGCTTAAACATTTGAAAACATTTTAGGATATTCAGAGATTCTGTTACCCATAGAGATCCATAGAACTCCCTCTCTCTGTTATCCCCAGGTGAAGATTACATGATCAATATGTTTTATAAGTCCCGGATCTCCATTATGAATCTCTCTCTTGGGCATGTCAAACTCAACATGCCCTAAACTAAATTCTTTGGCTCCCCTCCCACCCACTCCTTCTTCTGTGGTTTCTGGATCAGTGAATTGCATCACATTCCAGTAAGTTGGCCAAGAATGATGCCTATCTCCACCTTTCCTATCACATCGAATTTTTTTGTTACTCAGCCTCTCACCAAGTTCTGAGATTCCTCCTCCTTCATAGCTATCAAACAAATAGTTCTAGCCATTGCCACTTCTCTAGTTGAGATCATCACCATCTTTGATCTGGTGGTTTACTCAGTGAATTGCATCACATTCCAGTAAGTTGGCCAAGAATGATGCCTATCTCCACCTTTCCTATCACATCGAATTTTTTTGTTACTCAGCCTCTCACCAAGTTCTGAGATTCCTCCTCCTTCATAGCTATCAAACACATAGTTCTAGCCATTGCCACTTCTCTAGTTGAGATCATCACCATCTTTGATCTGGTTTATTACGATGACTTCTAAACGACTTTACTGCCTCCAGTCACACCCTTCTCTAGCCCATTCTTAACACAATAGTCAAAATAATCATTTACACAAAAATATTTCAGTCACCCTGGTTTAGAACCTTTGAAAGATTTCTCATTATTCACAGAATAAAATCCAAGCTCTATAACATGGCCTACAAGTCCCTTTGAAATCTCTCTCTTCTCCCACCAGAAGGCCTTTCCTATGTGCTCCTCTGACACTAGACAAGGCCAGTCACATGATAAAGCCCATGCTGTCTCTGCTATAGACATAAGCTGTACTGTAATTGCTTATTCTTCTGTCACCTTCACTGGAGTATAAGCTCCTGGGAGCAGTGGTCATGACTACCTTATTTATTGAAACATCCCTAGCATGTGCTGAGGTGCTTGGCACATAATATGTACTTTAAAACTATGTGATGAATAAACAAATGACTAATAAACAAGTAAGCTCTCTGAAAGCAGGAACTTCATGAGCCTGTTCTACTATGTCTAGCACAGCAATGAACTAAAAATAGAGGATTAATTGGCATCGTCCTAAATCAAACACTTGGTGATGTGTGCTAAACACTGCCACATGCCCTCATCATTGGTTTTCATAACTAACTTTATAATGGGCAAAGGGAATTCTCTAAAATTTGGAAGACTTTGTAAATCCAATTTAATTTAAACTGCAGAGGATTTGTCAAGTGTCCGAAACCTAATACAAGAGTTATCCTTTAAAAAATGCGTGAAAGACCCAGGAGAACATAGCTTACAGGAGAGGAAAACCCAAGTAGTTGTGTAGCATAACCATCCGAGAATGTGCATCTGTTAGCTTCTACATCTCACTCAAAGACGACCACCCTGGTTCAGCTGAAGTCTGGCAGAGTGTTCTCGGCTAATTGTGAAAACTGTAGCTTCTCCAGCAGTAAATCTGCTGACCTAGCTCAGATTCCGGGCTGTCTTTCCTCAGTCTTTGTGACAACTGCTGTGCCAGGGCTGAGCATGTGAAAGCGGACACTGAGGCACCCCAACACTGGCCTGTATTTGGAAATGACTTCATTTCTTACAGCTCAGTTTCTTTTCATCACCCCATTCCAATCAGATGCTAAAATTCTTTATTTAGAGGCCCTGCCATAGAGATTTTTCCTCCAATGGAGAAAAAAATGGATTTCGTATGCTGGGAGATTGCTCTCAATTCCTGGTGTTATGACCTCCAGCCTTGCGATGGGGTAGAGGGCAGATTTCTGTGACATCCACTTGTCTCTGACAGATTCAATATCCATTTCCATGGCCACCCAGCTCCCACAGCTACCATCATATTAGGCAGGGGAGGAACTATACAAGTTTGAGACCTAACAGACTTCACTCGCAGTGAAATGAATATCCGACGTTCTGGAGAGCTAAGCCTATTCACCAATTCTGTTTGCACACAATGAAACTCACACCATGACACTGCAGATAGAACTAATTGACTTGCTTGTACCTCGAAGATCCACTTGT